CTGGAATCTCCTCATCCCAAGTTGTCCCTTCCCTGCACAGGTCTTGTAAGAGCAGTTTGGGTTGCAGCGTGGCAGGAGCAATCAACCCTAGGGGGTCATACATCGAGCTTACTGTAGACAGAATTCCCCTCTTGGTCGCCGGTTTGTCTTTTACGACGTTGCGAAAGCCCAAGGTATCTGTCTGCACATTCCATAGCATGCCCAATGTGCGTTCCACTGGCATTGTGTCAAGGTCGAGATTCAGGTCCCTAACTTCTTCTGACATCTCTGCTACTGGTACGGTCTTGAGTACCTCTCGACTGTTGCTTACCCACTTGGTAAGTCTGAATCCTCCTTCTTTACATGCTTCCCGCATGTCCTTGGCTAAATGTCCTCCTTCTGTGACTGTGGAGGTAGATTTGAGCAAGTCGTCAACGTAGAAGTTGTTCCGGATTGATTCCAATACTTCTTCTGTGTATCGGCCTTCTCCGTCCTCAGCCAACTTCTTTAACGCAAAACTTGCACAACTTGGCGAAGATGTCGCCCCAAATACATGTACTGCCATCCGGTACTCTTGTAGTGGCTTGTCTAAGTTGCCTTCTGGCCACCAAAGGAAACGTAGGTAGTCTCTGTCTTCTACTGGTACCTTGACTTGGGAGAACATTGCTTCTATGTCTGCCATCAAGGCCACGGGCTCTTGCCTGAATCGGGTCAACACGCCAACCAGAGTACTGGTCAGGTCTGGACCTTGTAGTAGCTCTTTGTTCAGGGATGTGCCTGCATACGGTGCGGCACAGTCGAAGACGACTCTTATCTTCTTCTTTTGTGGATGGTACACTCCATGATGGGGTATGTACCACACTTTGCCACCATTTGTATCTTCCGTTTCCATTTCTTCTGATGGCACCTTTTCCGCATATCCTCTTTCTATCACAGTTTGCACGAACTGTACATAGTCTTCCTTGAACTTCTCGTCTTTGGACATCTTCTTCTGCAGATGTTTTGCTCTTTGTAGGGCAACTGACTTGTTGTTTGGTAGAACTGGTCTGCTGTTTCTGAAGGGTAGAGGTACTTGATAGTGACCCTCTTCTTTCTTCGTCCCTTCTGACATGATGTTCATGAACCTTTGATCTTCTACAGACATCTCTTTCTTGTCTTCAATCTTCTCGTTGAAGTCGTTGTTGAAGTACTGGGTCAACTGCTGTTCGAGACTGATCCGGTTGACACTTGCCATCTTCCCATCACTGGCCCCCATGAGAGGACCATTAACGGACCATCCCAGCAATGTCTTGATTGCGTAAGGTCCCCCTTCTTGACTGTTGATAATACGCCATGGCTCCATGGCGCTCTGCACGTTGTTACCAATCAGCAAGCCAATATCTGCGTTAATTTTGGGCATCTCTACTTCCCTGAGGTACGGCCAAGCCTCTAGATCCTCTGTCGAGATAATGCGTTCCTTGGAAACTGGTATCTTCTCCTGCACGTAGGCGGTAGGGATCGGAATACAATTATTCCTTTCCATGTCCAGCACTTCCAAGTCGCCCAATACTTCGCTTTTCACCTCTTTGGTGCCATTTATGGTGCTGAGGGACAACTTAGTTTCTCTTCCTTTTGACTTCAACTGCCTTTTCAAGGCTTCTGTACAGATCACTACGTCACTTCCGTTGTCGAGGAGTGCATAGGTCTGCACAGTCTTTCCTGACTTCTTGCTGCGTACTGCTACGGGAATGATGGACGGCACACCCTCCCTGCTCGAATGCTTTACACATCCACTGACGCTTGTTTGTGAGGTGTGTCTCGGTGTAAAACTGTCGGGTGCTGCATTTGACAAGTTGTGCAGGTTGCTTTTTTCCTAGCACTCTTTGGCTAGATGATTAGTGCCGTTCAAGCATCCGTAACACAAGCCTTTCTGTTTCACGTAGTCCAGACGCTCTTTGTACGGCTTTCCGCCCAACTTCTTACACACAGCTAAGCCGTGGCTTTCCGAGTTGCAAAACTGGCAGAATGCTCTGTTTTGGTTTGGCTCCGTCGTTACCGCCAGGCTAGAGCCTTTGCTCGGTCCCTTTGGTAACGGGTTCCTGGATTTCGTTTGAATGACTCCTTGGCTGACTTGTCATCAAATATGTCATTCGATGATACTTGTTCTTCTTGTTTGACGAAGTCTACTAAGTCCTTGAACTTAACCCTTCCTTGCCGTTGGATGTCGTGCGACTTACGTCGCCATCTTTCCTTCAGTCGGTAAGGAAGTTTTCCGACCAAGAGAGCGATGTTGGTGTAGTGGTCCAGCTCTTGGAGATACTGATCTCCCTTCATTGCGTTCAGGCATTTTGTAAGGAAGAGACTGAACTTCCTCAAGGCAGGCTTGTCATCATGCTTGATTTCCGACCATCTCTTTGCCTCTTCAGCATACGCCCGTGATACTTTAAATGGCGTACCATACCGTTCCTCTAGCAATCTCTTTGCTTCTTTAAAGCCTTCTTCGGGGTCCATCAGGACGCAACTTGTTACCAACTCCCTGGCTTCTCCCCTGGTATACTGCCCCAGATAATGAAGCCTGTCTTCTGGGTCCTGTGTTTTATCCTCTATGGCATGCTTAAATGCCTTTATAAACTGGGTATAGCTCAGGGGGTCGCCTTCAAATGAAATAATTGCCCTTGTTGGCAAGCTGCTTTTCTTGTTATGTTCCATCATTAACTTGGTAACCTCTGCTTGTTGGTTTACCAGACCTTGAAGGAATTCTTCTGGTGTCGGGGAATTCTGTTTTTCCCTGTCGCTACGATTTGTCATTGTGAAGCTAGCTGCTTCCGGGTTCAGGGATGTTTGATAGGGCTCCTCCTTCACTGTCGGGGCCGTCCTGAACTGGTCACTTCTTTCCCTTTGATGCTCACTAGTTGGCGGCTCAAAAGGTAGGCGGATCCTTGGCTTTGGCTGACCGTATGCCTCAAAGTTGTCAATAACCTTGAGCTTGGCCTCCTCTTGTGCCATTTCGGTTCTAACCTCTAGCAGCTCCTGCTGCCTTCTGAGCTCCATCTCTTCTCTTTTTATTTGGAACTCCTTCTCTTGCAGTTTCATCTTCTGGTCCAAGGCAGCCGCCTTTTCCCTCAACTCAGCCCTTCTTAATTCTGCTCTCAGCCTAGCGCTTGAGGCAACACTGGAACTTTGCGAGCATGCTTGTGACACACTGTCGGACGGTTTGATGCCCGTCTCTTCTTCTTTCTCTGAAGTCAGGTTAATCCACTCATGGACCCTGTCTCTGAACTGATCTAACTCTGCAAAGCGTGGTCCTACCCATTTCTCTGTGTCTTCCTTCAGCTGATCTGCATCTAGAGTGGTCTGGTAATCACCACTGGCCTCTTCAAGGTCACAGTAGGCCTTCTGCCACTCTTCCATACCTTTCTGTACCTCCGATAAGTCGTTCCGTTCCATTAACGATTTTAGCACGTTTGATTTGTGCGTTAGTCGGCCCAGAACTGTCGATCTGTGAGTCTTCTTTCTTCTACTTTCTTCTTCACTGACCCAGTCAGCTTTCTTAGGTACTCGTTTTTGTAAACCTTCTGTTTCCTCCTCTACATGTCTGTCTTCTCTGACTGTAGAGCGGTCCTCCTCTGACTTCTTATCAGCCATTTCCAAATGGCTCCAATTTTTCGCTGCGAGAGGCCTAATTACAACTGTTTAATTTGTACTCCTTTATTTGAGTCCTTACGGTATTCCACAGTTCTCCTGTCTGATTCAGCACAGGCCTCTAGAATTTCTTCTAGCCTAACAGGCACCTTTTGCCATGTCAATCATGTAGCTTCCAGTAAGTGTACTCGTAAACTACAAATCTTTTCCAACAGTTCCGATTAGTTTGCTGTTGAACCTGTGTGTTCAAGTGTGCCGCACAATACAATGATATTCAATGGTCTTGCACTTGACAGTTCCTCATTTTACCGCCTTTAGGTGGAATAGTCCTTCTTGAATTTGCAGACTTACGGTAGTCTTCTAGCAGTGTGTGTGGAAGTATGACCTTCACATCTGCTTAAGCCATCTGGCCTGTCAATCATGTACGACTAAACTTCTCCCAAATGTCCGTATGGGAGCCTTTGTATGCTATGATCCTATGGGTTTTTCTCAACACAGTGTCTATGTGTTGCTGAAATGGCTTTTGTGCTCGGAAATACTGAAATCTTTACCTCCAAAACCGAAGTTGCTTCAATTAGCTGTTTTACGGTAAGGTTCCCTTGTGCAGGAGGGTTCTGCTGCTTCTCTCGTGGGCGAGGTCATTAATCAAGTCAGCATTCCTACATGTCAAGCGATCAGCACGGCTAGCAGATAAGATTTCTCAGCTCAAGAAACCCTTTGTTCTGCACAACTTTCACTAGATCTCTCTTGATAAAGCAAACACTTTCTTGGAGTTTTCTCATGCACTCTTACGTGCCATGCAAAGTTCCAAGCCTTGTTTCTTCTCGTAGATTCCAACTTCTATGGACCTCTAGTGACCTAATTGCAACTAGTCTTTACTGTAATTGCAAACAGTCCTTTACTTCTTCGATGTAACTTCCGTCGAAGACACACACCAGTTTTTTACTGTAAGGCCACACCAAGTAAATTTTATGGATGACGTCCGCGCGCGCATTGATTTTGGCCTCTTCCTAGAAAAAAAAACAAGAAATTTTGCTTCCTGTAACTATGACCAAAGTCACGGCAGTGTCGCAAATCGTCAGATTGACGTGAAACCCGTAACGCGAGGTGTCGGAACAGAACAGAAAATTTTTCACTGTCGACTGTTCCACCTGATTTATTGCTGTTTTGATGATGAATAAAAGACTTCTTGCTTGTTACACTGTGTCACCTCATTCAATTTGTGTCCTAACATTTGTCGTCTCTTAGTACATTTCTAATCTAGGCATCTTGTTTTTTAGGGCCCTTCTTGTTTTTTTTTCGCCCTCTCGCATTAGATTTAGGGTCTCCAGAGGACGTCATCCATAAAATTTACTTGGTGTGGCCTAAGTGCAGCGCCACGGCCTTCCTGTTTTACTGATTGTTTCCGTGGCCCTGCTTCAGCCGGCAGATAGAGAAGGAACTCAGACAATATCAGACTGGCCTACCTTGTGGATGCTGTTTTAATCAGTAGGGTTAGTGGTGATACAAACGAAGCCGCCTCATCAAGATTCTGCTACACTGTCCTGTCTAATTGTTCCTTCTGAAAGTCCTGAATGTGCGATGATCTTGAATGTGTCCTTGATTATATCCCGTGTGCTTTAGTTCCCTAATCCAACTGCTCCCACATATCCACTGGTACCGATGTTGAGGTGCGAGATGTAGGCCAAAGATGTTTTCTTGTCGGAATGTCCGAATGTCAGAAATTGTCAGGTAAAAAACTGGTTTGTCCTCTATCCGCTGACTGCCTTCAGTCCTCTTGAGTATTCCTTATGCACTGCCTCTTCTCGTGCCCTGTGCACTGTGTTTCTGCTTGTGAATTCTTCCTCTCTGGAAGCCTGGTTTCTTCCTCTCTGGAAGCCTGATTTCTTTTCTGTCTCTCTGCCCCAGCCGGACGGGGCTCCCCTCCCTGGAGTTCAGGGGGGTAGGGATTTTGGCGGGAATCTAATCTATCACATATGTACTAAGCTAGAGGCGGCAAATTCGAAATTGGAAGTTGGCACTTACAAACACATTCCTGTCAGGTTCCTGAGGCGTAACCTGAGGGGGGCTAACAAGGAGGTAAGGGAACGGGCATACACATCACTGGTCAGTCTGGGATCCTCAGGTACGCCAGCACGCACAAAGCAACACCCTAGTTGACAAGTTAGAGGCAGTTCAAAGACGGGCAGTCAGGTTTATAGCCAAGGTACAAACATGTATAGCTTAGCCTAAGTAGGATTGGATATAATATAACAGTCATGTTTTATTCCTTTCACAGAAGTATGAGGAACAAGAAAACAAGAAAATCCCTGATCACCGCCGCTTCAGCGGGACACCACAGGAAAGTCGCCCAGCTTCTGAACAGCAATGTTGACCGTATCTTAGACCTCCGTGACATTGACGGAAGGACCGCGCTACACCGCGCTGTGAAGAACGGGCACTTAAAGGTCGTGGATATCCTGCTGAGAATGGGGAATTGCGGACGTTCCTTGCGTGCGCGGGATCCGTACGGCTGGGCTGCCATTCATTTTGCTGCGCAGTCTAACAACAAGAATAACGTGATCAGTTTGCTGTTGGACAGAGGAGCGAACGCCTCGATGAAAACATACCGAGGGTTGACAGCGCTGCACTACGCTGTAGAAAAGGGGTGCTTTGCCGCCACCAAGCTGTTGCTGGAATTCGGGGCTGACATTAACGCTAAAGACATCTATGGGCAGACACCACTACACAGGGCTGCCCAGGAAAACTCAGTGCGCGAGGTTGAGCTGCTTTTACTAGCAGGAGCAGATTTTAACGCTAAGGACAGGAACGGAAAGACGCCAGCTGAGGTGGCTGCGAGTGGCAGTAAGTGCCAGGAACTGTTGTCAGGACATGAGAAACACCACCCAAGCCTGCAGCGACTCTGTAGGCTGAAGATACACACAACACTGGAACAAGTGAGGTCGGAGGACAATGTTATCCAAGACTTCCCCCTCCCAACTCCTATGAAAAACTTTCTTCTCTTCAAAAATGTTCTGTGAAACTCTTTTAAAGATGCGTTGCGTGCATTTAGATTGTATTCTGTAGCAATGTATGTTATGGACAGGATAAGGCCATACCGATTTAATTTTATGGATGACATCCTCTGAAGACCCCCAAACTAGTGCGCGCGGGCGAATAAAAAAAAATTCCGGCCAAAAATAAAAATGCTACTGAACCACAGGAATACAAAGCTGGTATTGTGAATTCCCGACAGTACATAGTGACGTATACGACAAGCCGGCACATGCTGGCTTTTTGTGGCATTTATGAATCGGTACTATACTTATGTACTGAGTTCTTGAGTCGTGGAGCTTCGAATTCGATAGCTTGGGTGCTCGGCTCCGTTTTGTCGCTGACTAGCATGGACTACCCAGGCCTAGAGCCAGGCCAGAGCCTCGGTGGAGATGATTCTTTTTTTTTTTTTTTATTGAGGGCGACAGGCGAAAATCAATGCGCGCGCGGATGTCATCCATAAAATTAAGTCGGTGTGGCCTAATGTTATTGTAGAATGTTGTTCTTGTATGTAGTACATGATTTCTTTTGGTTTGGACTATCTGTTGAATATGTAGATACATGTAGCTGGATGTAGGCTCTTAGCTTTGTCGTGATAGGCTAGCAGCAATAGAGTAGTGAAGGCTGTTGTTTCTTGTTTGTAGAATGTTTATTGTTGTTACTATAAACTAGAATGTTACCTTTGTTCTTACACTGTTCAAGCCTGTTATAAAGCTTAGCGTCAGAAAGTGACAAGACCAGGTTTGCCTTCCTGGCGTACAAGCTGTTCAACAAGTATCCCAACACTGTTTCTGGAGAGGGCCTTTCTATCCATGAAGAAACAGGGCCTGGTCAACCAGAGCAAAGGGGTGAGCAGTACATGACATTGTAATACTTGTGGATGAACAAAAAATTGAAATCTTGATGCCATGAAAGCTTATCTGTCTTGTTATATACCATGATGAAGTTTGATGCTTTTGTTCAATAGAAGCAAAAGTAGCTTACCTTCCCCTGAATTTTCAATCACTCTCACGTCAACCTTCTCCAGTGATTTGGATTCAATTGCTCTTAGCACATGAAAATCTTGATATAAAACATGCCACACATTATGGTATATAGGGCAGTGCTCATCTCCATTTCCTCAGCCCTTGGGCCACAAAGCTATGCCAGAATACTACAGCAGTGGGCTAGTCCATTTGCATCACTATGTGTGTATATAACTCCCATACTCATTCTTATAAGTGCTGAGTGCTAAGCTGGAAAGCAGTATGTACATGTACCATTTTGAAGATTTTTGGTGGAACAGTTTTAATGAGGGTGACTCTTCACATGTCTGTGTGTTTCAACCCCACACAGATTGCACCTAAGTCCAAGGTCCGTGCTGTTCCTATGGCTGCAATAGGGTATAAGCTGTCAGCAATGTAAGTAATACATGTACTACTATCATACTATTGTAAGTAAGGTTACTATCATTATTCTTTTAGTGTACCTATTACTAGACTTTCAGATTCTGACAGAACTGTGTTATAATATTTGTTGGCTTTTGAAAATACATACTGTTTTAGGAAGACTCCAAAATCAAACATGGAAACACTTACATGTACATGTACTATGCCTTGCCTTGGCGCTTCTATCACACAGTTACAAAAACATGTACATGTAGATCTCCAGTCCCTGTGTATAGTTTTCAAATGTTGTGTCAGAAAAGATATTGTCTGCAAGCAAAATTATGATCCAATATTGACCAACATAAAAAAAACATGGCAAATCCTGGTTTCTCACAGGCACAGTACATTCTACCAACATGCTTAGAATATATAAACTATGCAATAAACTATTATCACAACCAATAACTATGCAGAAATATTATCACATTGTGACAACCAATAACTATGCAATAAATATTATCATATTGTGACAACCAATAACTATGCAATGAAAATTCATGTAATCTCAAAACCACCTGTTTCCCTCCCCCTCCAGAGCAGAGCGCCCGTTCCAGCAGGCCATCCCCAGCAGTGTGTTTCCTGAGGCACACCAGCTGCTCACCAGACTCAAGCAGGACAGAGCCAGGGGGGCGGAGGGGGAGGAGGGGGCAGAGGGGCAGGGGGTGGAGTTCCCCAGCGAGGGGGCGGGGGGACAGACTGCCTGTGTCTTCTCACTTCTCGCGACAAATCAGGTACAGAAAAAAAATCCTATGGCTATTCAATGCCACACTACTTTTGTTTAAAAGAGATGTTTGTTTTAACCACTATACTGACACATTTGAAACTAGGTGGAGGAGGATTTGTTACTCTTTCTTAGAGCGATTATTTTCTGCCCATAATGCAATCATCATTCGCTTACTAAGATCAGACGCCTTCTACAGGAACTCTTTCTTCCGACCCAGTAACAATATAAGCTGTGTTGTATTTTATGGTGATTTTTTTTACCTGAAATAAAGAATAAAGAAAAAGAAACAACCTTCACTTCATTTCTTGCTTGTAGCTGTCCTACACAGTTGACATCCCAGAGAACATCGTGGTGATTGACAGCTCCATGGAAACCCCTGCGAAGGAAGCCAGGAAGACTGCCAGCAAGGAAGGGTCGGATTCTGAGGGGGACACGGAAAATTCCAACACAGGTACTTAGGGTTTCCCAGCCAGTTGTGGCAAGATATTGAATATTGTAGAACAAGAGGCATTTCAAAACCTACCAAAAAACTTAACAAAACCATGAGGTATCAATTAGATATCAATTCTGACATTTCACTGTGTTTTCAAAATAAATCATCAGCTGATGCATGATGCTGTTGATTGCTTCAATCGATGTATGACAAATTTTGGTGCATTTAGCTGGCAATTGGCTTACTGCACAGTGCAGAAAGCTGATCTCACTAACAATGGAGTGGATGGGAAACGGTTTGGGATTTGGGGACTTGGTAGACTTGGAGTGTGCAAACAACCGTGGTGCAATTAATTGGCTTTTATTGTACTTCATATTCTTCAGGTGCTGTAAGTCTCCCTCTTGCGACTCGGTCATCGCGGACGAAGGTCCTAGCGGCTCGTAGCGGTACTGCACCTGCCATTCTCAGCCTGCGCAACCTGGAACCAACCGACAACATCGTCATCAACTCCTGTACCATCAACATGAGGCTGCCGCGCAGACTGTTCCACAGCGAGGAGCACAGAAACAGTACGAAACTGACACAGTTTAAAGGCATCCAATGCGATTTCAGGGCAGCAAAACTGGAAATATTGCCTGGAATAAGGCAATCTTTATGAGATACATAAGACACATACTGCTTCACATTAGTAAATTTCAATCAGTATTTCATACTTTGGGCATTTAAAACTGCAGAAACAAGCCCCAAGATGAGCCCTTTAGTTTCTGGGTGGTACCCTAAAGACCAGCCCAGGGCCCTTTCAGTAACCATTTTCCGTCAGAATTTTGGGAATTATTTCTCCATGAAGGTCAATATTCATTTGGGGGATAGTGTGATTTCAACTCAGTATGAAGATAAGTGACTAGAATATTGGCTTTGACAAATCAGGTGTCCAAGCCCTAAAGACTGCATTGGATGCCTTTTAGTGCCGGACACAGCATATGCCTAACAGTACACTAAAGTCTTCCATATTGTGTTCGCCTGCTGAATGACAGTAACTTTATTTTTATGATAAATCACTCTCTCTCTCTCTTTAGCTCACAATGAAGACCAGCTCCAAGGCAGCAGCACCAGTCCCATGTCCCTGCCTAACTTCCTCCTGACAGACCCTTCAGCGAGCGGTCAGGACCCTGCCAACAACGCGCTGCCCTGGCCAGAGTTTGTCTCCCTCTGCAGGCAGGACTTCCTGTACTCGGAGCAGGACGTACAGAGGCTCAGGGACATCTATGACTACATCGAGACTGGAGAGGGACTAAGAATTTGTCTGCTAGACCTACAGGTGAAGATTTCTAACTGCTTGCCTTTAATACCGGAATAACCTTTATTGTATATTCATGCCCTGTCGGGCTACCAGTAAGTACAGGTGAACAGATGAAAGGTATATAAAACAGGACTACTGAAACTAAATCTAACTAGCTCTAAAACTACTCTAATGCAGAGGTTCGGCTTCTTCTCATTTCCTTTTTTAATGTAGTTGAATGTTTTTGATCAATATGTTTATCTGGTTTACCATTCCATTAAAAGGTTAGATATTTCTTTCTTTCCACAATTAATGTCTATGGATCCATAATATATAAAGATTAGTCCATTTTAAAACAATTTGTCTGAATGTGTAATCTTGACGATGTTCTTTGTTCTGTCTCTGCAGTCCAAGTTTCAGAATGCAGTGCAAGAAGGTTCCAAGTTCCGCACAGATGACCATATCAATATGCTGCTCAGATTTGAAATGGTAAGACTACACAATGAACTTTTTTCTGTTGATGTACTATTGTAAGGCAAACAAATTAAAGAGACTCTTTTTACACAACCAAGTGTTATATTGACAGCCGACATTTCGGTGACCGTCTGTCACCTTCCTCAGGGCTATTCTGACTGGTTCACATTGCACTGCAGCACATGTGTCGCTGCTATAGATGTGACAGACGGTCACCGAAACATCGGCTGAATAAAACACTTGGTTGTGTAAAAAGAGTCTCTTTATTTAGTAAACTTACCAACCTGATGAAACTATACACGGAGGGACAGTGATAACCTATGTAAACTTTACATTGAGTTTGAACCAAGATTTGTGCTATATGGAAGCCCTGAAAAGGAATTTGATTTTATTTTCTAGTGCATAGAAGTTGGGATCCACGAGCCGCGACTGGTGACAGCCGAGCATTGTGGGCCGTGGTTCATGCACTCTTCACGACTGGTAACCATGGCAACCAGCCCGGGGACAGACGCGACGTCGCGCCCGGGAACCTCGAGGGATGTCGACACAGTCCTGCACGTTACACACATCCCGCAGGCTGCTAGACCAACAGCACAGACTGGGGAGCCTTCTGAAGGTACAAGTGGAGAAACATTGAGGAATTTTATCTTCTTGTTTTTAATGATTATATATGCCGACTTGTTTCAACTGCCTTTAAATATGAAGAAAATTAAACTGTTTTCCAAGTCAACAACGAAAATGACTCACCAGAAATATTGGACTGAATCGCTCAGTCTTCATCAGCTTTATGACCCAAGTGCTGTTGACATGTGACTTTTAGCCATGTTGAGTTATTTTCGTTGAGTTGGAGAACAGTAATTATCTTTATGTATTTTTAACTGAGATTAACTTTCATGCTTGCCTTTAAATATGTTTTAAATGTGTGCTGTTATCTTTTTGTAATTTGCTCTAAATGATCCCATTATTATGTATGATTTTAATGGAAATTTAACATTTCATATTTCAATTCAATTCAATTCTTTAGTAAGATATCAAACATAACAGACAAACATGACATTCAATGTTGCCTGAATGGCGTTGATATTTACAAGATAAAATGTCAAAAAATATATATTTACAACAACTATAAAAACAGTACAGTAGGTGTACAACCCAGACTCTATCTGTACAGTCCAGTTTTAGAGTCTGATTGATATTTATCATGCAATGCTGTATGTGACATGCAAGTCGATTACAATAAATCTGAATCTGAATCTGTAGATGGACAGACAAGACCAGACCAACAACTGCAGGAAGACTCCACCAACAAGTCCCCTCCAGACACTGGAGATGCAGGTATCACCAAGGATGCAGACGTCTTGGCTCCTGAGAAAGATGGCAAAGAAGGGAGTACGGAGGAGAGGAAGTTAAGACCCCGTGTGGCTAAGGCGCCGACTCCAGGAAGAAGGAGGGACAGACCGGATTCAGAACTACAGGTCCAGATGCAGGCATCCAAATATGGGTAAGACTATGTGTAATAACTTTGGATGGTTGTGATGTTATCATAAGGGCTCAGGTACAGAATCTGATGTACGTTTCTGATTGGAGGGCAGTAGTTGTGTGACACTGTGTTCTTTCGACCACTTGATCTATACTTGCATCAAAATGTACCGGTAACTGCAAGTTGCACCGTGTACATTGGTACTAAAAGCATGTCTGCTATCACTAAGAACACTGAATTGAAACCTTTATCTGAAAAAAACTGTAGAAGTGCCAGGTGGAAAAAAATGTAAACATAAATTGTAGGTTAAAGGTAAATCTGTTTGACTGATAGACAATGTTTCATTTTGTTGGAAAAATATGAGTTTTTGAACACCTCAATTCTTGGTTGATAAATCTGATATTTGAAGGCATGACTATTTCTTGTTCTTTTCTGGGCTGGTATCAGAAACTTAGTGGTTGGCACGTCCATCACTACATTAGTCACTCTGTACATCATGCATAGTCTAGATAATATTATAAGGCATGCTCCCCTATTCCTGCTTATAGTGTGTACGAGCCTGTTGCGTTCCTGAGCCGCCCGTGGCGTGCAGTGGACGGATCGGTGAACGGGAGAGTTCTGCAGAACATGCTGCAGGGCCTGCTGCTGCTGATCCTGCAGAAACCCGGGATATCACAGGCTGCGGTGCTGTGGCAGATCCACACTGTCATGCCTGGGATGGCAGCACTGCAGCTACTGCAGGTGAGTAATATAGCCCCTACAGGTTGACAATGGTAGCACTTCGGCAGAAAGTCTCATATAAGGTCATATTCGCATGTATAAGGTTAACATCCCGTCTGTAGTTTCCAAATGTTATGTTGGAACAGATATCCTCTGGAACAGGCAAAATTGTGATCCAAACGTCCAACGAAAACCGTGTTTAACGCAGGTACAGTACGTTCTGCCAAGGTGCAGATTAAGGTCATGCAATGAATGCGCTGTCTGGAGCTGTTTTTCTATGAAACGATTTCATATATTTTGTCCATTTTCTTCAGAATAAATGAAACTATGGCCCTGGATAGAGCTGGCTGGAGGAACCATATGAGGGGGGAGCAAGGGGCCAAATCAGATGTGTTAGTCATGGTTAGAGATAGCTGTATGATGAGAATGTCTTGTTTCCTAGATGCTGGAGTCCATGGGCTGTATCACTGCCAGACACATCAGGACGGCTCCAAAAGCCAAGCTCTTCTCAGAACCTGTCTCACTGGTAGAAGGTGAACCCACTCTTTCACTACATTTGAATGTTTGTTTCATGTATTTGAAACATAAACCAGCCTTGTAGGTTAACTTAGCCTCAATTTTAATAAACAATTGTCAATTATCAAGTTGCACTAATCTTGACTAGTCTCCACCAGACTCCTTTCCAGGCTGAATAAATAGTAGAAATCTGCCTACACAAGGGATTTAATTGGCCAGAGAAGTGGGCTGGCCAGAGAGGGTCCATTTGCCTGCCTGCAGACCGATTTCTAGTATTTATTCAGCCTGCAAAGGAGTCTGGTGGAGACTAAATCATGACCATGCATCCAGAATGTTTTTACAGTAAATCTTTTTTATTCATCTGCAGGCATAGGAGACAAGGCTGAAGTTTACTACGAGCCCACAGCTGACGCCATTCTCAGACTGATTGAGAGTATCCCGCCACAGGATCACGAATAGATGACATACTGTTAAAACTTTTGATCCAACACAAAGTTCTCTCACCTTGAGCTTTCGACCAGTCACCCTGGTCTTCCTCAGTAGACTGATCCAGTGAGACTGTTCGAAAGCTCTAGGTGAGAGAACTTCTTCGTGTTGGATCAAAAGTTTTAACTCTTAAAATGTAACTACCAACACAGATGAACTTCATAATACATGTAGTAGATGACACACCATGTTTAAGACCTTGTTTCACTCAGCCGCTTTGTAAATAAACTTCTCTATTTTGTACATGTGTACATGTGGTCTGCATTCAGACTGTATTCCTTTTCATTAGTTTATTTTGAGATCCTCCAGAACACTTCAATGTCTAAAGTGGAAATAAAATAGTAACGAAGGAAATAAAAAGTCAGATGTTGAAAAGTCTTCTTTTATTGTCGGTTCGTTAGTAACTGGACAATTAACAAGACTGCGAAGGAGGCTAGAAAACGTATAAGATCGCGGAACTCTAATTCACAATCAGGCGTTTTAAGACAAAAGAACGGATTGATACCTTGTATTTCTATGGAATGTGGTCTCCCGACTTGTGTTTCAAATCTTTTAGATTTTGAGAACCACTTTAAGGTTTTATCTTAATATTTCATTCCAAGGACAATATACTTCTGAAAAATATCCTTGTTCATTTTACGTCAACGATCGGTACACACGTAAAAATGTCCAGACAATTCTATATGAATATTGCATAATATAATAATGTTTTGGGGCCCCTGATTACCTTCGCCAAGAAGGTTATGTTTTCGTGGCCGTGTGTCTGTGTGTCTGTGTGTGTGTCTGTCTGTCAACAGCATAACTTGAGAAAGCTTAGATGGATTATCTTGATATTTGGTAGGTGGGTAGGTCTTGATGAGACCTGGAAATGATTAGATTTTGGACCCCCTAGCGGCTTGTTATGGTACTGCAGCTGAACTTCCGGTTTTGATATCTCATGATCTAGATATGCTGGGGTGACGAAATTTGGATGGTAGGTAGCTCTCATGCTGGGGAAGAAGTGACACGAGTTTGGGCCCCCTAGCGGCTTGCTCAGGAACTGCAGGGCTATTTGTTTGAAAATATTCAAAAGAGGATAACTCAAGAACCGGTGGACGGATCTTCGTGAATTTTGGTATGTAGGTAGCTCAAGTGAAGCTTGACATAATTATGTGACAATTATGCAAATCTGGATCTAATTTACATAATTAATGGCGAAATTCTATAAATCAGCTGCATTACATTATAGGACTATTCAAGCTTGTGACATATGTAATTGAGAACGAGAGAAACACAGGCAGATATTGATTATGTAAATTAACACCTAATTTGCATAATTAATGAGAAAATGTTATAATTCCATAATGCTAACTGCCTGGAATTTCATACTTGGGGTATTTGAAAGTTAAGTGAAGGAGAACATCAATAAACATAACTTATTCAAATAAGGACCTCATTTGCATGATTTATGAGGAAATGATAGAATGGCTTTCTTTGCTAAGATAAGGCTGTCTTTTGATGGAGAATATGATCAACTATATAATACAATATTATAAGACAATATTATAATATAAATATAATACAAAT